AAAACCTACATTCATGTGGCCACATCCAGGTATTGAATAATCCATTAATTAATCCGATTACAATCACCAATGGACTTATGCACACTAAAGACTCCCTCTCATAATTACAAAGGGTATACTATTATATCATATTCATTAACTTGAGATATAGCATAAACCTAGTAGAGATGCCCACACAAGTACGCAAATTGAAAAATTCGCAAAAGCTAAGTACCTTCGTTGTTGGGAAAGACAATGGGACTAAGATAGGAGAAATAAGGGAACTCTCAGATCTTAGAGGAGAACTTCACATCAATAAGTTGGAAAATGTTGCAAATGCTAATGATGCATTGGATCAGGCCAAGTTGATGGATAAGAAGTATCTTGAGAGGTTGGCACTCGGATGGGGTTATGACAGTAAAGGTGATTTAGCAATCTCAATAGATGTACTTGCAATGCTATTGCCAAACAAATTAAACCTTGGAAAAGCTTGATATTTTTGAATATCCAGGCACAAGATTTCCAAATTGGTTTGAAAGTGATTCACTGAGCAACACTGTTTTTTTTACGGCTTTGTTGGTGTAGAAAATGCTTGTCCTTACCACAACTTGGCTAACTACCATCCCTCAAAACTCGAGACATTTCAGGATTTGATGCCATGCTGTGAATCCTCAGTTCAAGTTTTGCTACAGTAAAAAATTTTCTGAAACAATCACATCTAACTTTTGTACTGCAGTAAAAAGTTCTCACATAAAGTCACATCTCAACTCCAATTGAAAACTCGAATCAACGAATTAAACGGTCCCTTAATATGCATGGAAGTTTTGACTCCCTTAGACCCATTCCCTTGGATTTGTTTCCCAAGCTCAAAGAACTTTATATCCATAATTCCGAAGGTCTAGAATCGCTCTCATTGCTTGATGAGCTATGACAAACTTGACATCTTTGTCTACTTTAATTATGTCAAACTTTCCCAATTTTGTATTTTTTCACGAAGGTGGACAGCCTGCCCCTAATCTGACCTTCACCTCAATTGGAAACTGCGAGAAAGTGAAATTGTTGCCAGAGAAAATGTGTAGCCAGCTTCCATCTTTGGAATTCCTGGCAATTAGATATCGTTTGGAGATTGAGTCATTTCCTGATCCTGGTCTGCCCTTTAATTTGCGTAACGTAGGCATTGAGGGTTGTGATAAACTCATTGCCCCTCGGTTGAGCTCGAATTTGCGTAGCCTTCCAAATCTTACAAGCTTCGCAATTCACGGAACTAGTAGACACAGAGGTGCGGAATCTAGAAGAATTATAAGGCCTCGAACTGGTAGATACGAAAATGTGGAATCCTTTCAAGAGGAAGGCCTATTACCTACCACTCTTACTTCTCTTTTAATTGGTGGATTTCCACGTCTCTTAAATATTTAAGCATCTTTTAATCGGTGATGAGATTGTTTCATGAGTCATTTGACAACTTATTCAAACCCATCCGTTCACTTAGGTATATAGTTGTACAACTTCATCCTTCCAAATTCCTTTTATTTTAGCTTCTTTTAGTTATATAGTTGTACAACTTCATCGTTCTTAATTCCTTTTATTTGAGCTTCTTTCTTACGCTTAAACATGTTTTTTCTTGCAGGTCTACCTCATTGAGATACCTAAACTTCACAAAGTTTGTACGTGAAAGGAAGCTAAGACTTTCCGCAGATTTGTCTTACTAACTCCTCTTTTTATTATTATTGTTGTTGTTATTATCATAATCATCATCATCATCATCCTTCACTGCACTCGCAGAAACTCATTGTATTCTTACATATTAGTGTCAGATGCAATCTTAATCATGAGTATGGGTTATTTATTGTTGTTTCTTCTCTAATTCCCTGTGATTAATATGAGTTCCTATCGTGCAAAATGGAGGGCTCCAAGTTAGGAGATTTTATGACATAATGGGTGCGTTTAGAATTATTTTTTAGTTATTTTTAAAAACGTTTATGTACGCCTTTTAGAGCACGAAAACGAAAACGGTCTACAAAATCACGTTTGTTTAATAAAAGTTTTAAAAAAAGAAAAAAAAAACATAAAACAATGATGAGAATGATTTTTTGTAAAGAAAGTAGAAAACGGCTGAAAATTGTTTTCCCTTTTCCGTTTTCATTTTTAAGTACTTATCAACAATGTTATATCAAATAATTAATTATCAATTACTAATTATATTATATATTAATTAATAGTTAATAAATACATATACTTAATAACTAATAAATAGACAGTAATTACTTAATTATTAATTAAATATTAATTTATTACTATTAAGTTTTTAATTTTATTAATAAATAATAGGTTATTAAATAAATAATTAATAATTAATATATCAATCATATATTATGTTAATTTTAATCTATTAATTAGAAAATAGTTGGTAAATAAAAATAAAAAAATTACACAATTAATAATTAATATTATATTATAATTATCAATATGTAATATACTAATCAATAGTAATTCATAATTCATAATTAGTAATTAATCAATTAATAATTAATATTAAATTATAATTATCAATATGTAATATATATGCTAATCAATAATAATTAATAATTGATAATTATTAATTAATAGTTATAAAAAGAATAATTACCAAAAATTGATCATGTGATATATAAAATAATAGGTTATTAATTTAATTATGTGACTAAAAGTTAATAATTTAAGTAGTAAATGAAATATTAATAAATTATGTATATACTAATTATTTTTTTTAATAATAATCTAATAAATATCAGTACATTACTAACACAGTAATTACTTATAATTAATTACTAATTACTAATTTTTAATTATTTAGCATATTAATTTATTATATATAGTTTAATTACTAATGTACTCATTAATGATAATTTATTCATTATTATTATATTATTAATATATTAATTTTTATTTGCTAAATAATTATTAATTATTAATTACTTAATATATTGATTTAAGATTATTAATTACATGTACTCAAAAGAAACATAAATGTAACTAAACATGATTTCACTTTTTTATCATACTCAAACCAATTTCTTAAAAGACCGTCAAACGTAATTTCAGAATCGGTTCTATAATAATTTTCAAAACAATCTTATTTTCATTTTTGTACTAAAAATAAAACTATTTTAAAAATATTACCATACGGGCCCAATATTTTGTAACGCCCGCAACTTTTAAAGAGTAAGATATAACAAAATAGCATATATCATGGGCATATGCTTGCACTATGTAAACATATTTATATTAGTATCATTTATGTGTTTCATTGTTGTTGAAATCAGTACTCGTATGATTCATTCTCTTGGAAGCTCTCGTGATAAAAGCTACAAGAAGCATAAAGGGATCGAGCATCATGTCGTTTAGAGGTACTTAAAACTATATCTCCAATGCAAATGCTAATTGTATATTTAGTATTAAAATGTGTACATGATATATTATGTTACTTCTATTTTTTCTCAAATGTATAATGCTAATTGAAAGCTTAATTCTACTTCTTCCTATAATTATTAAGGGCCAGTTTGGTTACGCAATTGAAAATTGTTGCCGTTACTGTGTTGTTAATAATAAGTTGTTTTTACCAGAAGCATATAGGTGTTAGGTAAATATTTTTACAAATCTACTGTAAATACCATAAGCAGAAATTTAAGTGTTTAGTAAACTATATATAAAATTGTTGTTAAAATGTATAATGACAAAAATAGACATACTTTATCATACATGTTTATAGTTGTTTTATTTCTATTTTTTGGTCAACATTCATAATATAAAAAATATTATAAATTTTATTAATTAAAATATTTCTTGAAAATAAATTACTTTTATTCTAGGAGAAATATTATTCACATACTAATATTTATTATTGTTGTTTTTAAATACTTTGATAACTATTAAAAATATTTGAATGAAATTTAGCATAGCATACTTATTAAAGATTTTCTATTTTTAAATAACTATTTTAAAAATAATTTTTTTTAATTTGGCATGGAAAAAAATAGGCATTTTGAGAATTAAGTTTTATTATTAAAGTTATCTTAGTAAGTTTGGATAATGGCAGCAGAAACTACTGTGCAAAATTAATCTCTGATCTACTTTTCAAATTCTATTATTTGATAACAATTTTTAGAAGCTGCTGGACAAAAGTAAGATTTACCAAACACCCTAATCTACTATAACTTCTTTAAAAAAGCTAAAAGCTGCCTCTCAATGCAATGCCAAACCCTAAGCTTTGAAAGTTGTCAAAGTAAACTTTTATTTTTAAAATAATTATAAAATGTAAAAGTTGCAATGATTACATGAAAAGAAAAATATTTCAAGTAATAGTAATCAAATGTTAAATTTGTCATATGCTATACTTGGTAGGAAATTTATAACAAAGCATAACATGTGAGAAATTTAGCGCAACAAATAGAATTGCATTGGAGAGTGTATTTTGCACTCAAATTTCAAATTTATAATTGGCATATCAATTATATTATTGCATTAGAGAGGCTCCAAGATGATTTAAGACTTTCAGATGGGCTTAGTACTATCACGTCAAGTCCATCGTTTAGGGTTTCTTAAGATGATTTAAGAGTTACTTAATTCTGTCAAGTTGATAGGTTTGAGACTTTCCAGATGCTCTCAACTCTTAATTATTGAAAGCCGGGCCAATTCAGCATATATTAGACTTGAATTTATTTCGAAACAGATAAAGAAACAACAAAAAATTTTACTTCACCAATTTCACATTTTACTTCATGATACAGTCACCCCTGAAACATACCACACACTGAACCATCCCAAAGTATAACTAGTAATTCGAAACTAAAACAATGAATTAAAACCATTATCCGTAGACAAAAAAAGAAAAGAAAAGAAAACAATAAATGGTAACTACTACATCTATGCAAGTCAAACATTTAATAGCGCAGAAAAGCAGAAAACTTAACCCAATCCAAAATCAAATTTTCAAATGCAAATTAACTAGCTCTTACTTGTGTCCTATTTGGGATAACTTCTTATCATTTCCTTGTACAGGCGGAGCAGTTAGTGCAGGGATCGGACGGCGAAAAGACTCCGAACCAAGTCTGAATTCCGCTCAAAGCAAGTGCAACCAATGCAGCAATGAACGCCAAGATAGTCCAGGGGCTACTGAAATGGTCGTTATAGGCTTCGGCGATCCATGTCATCCACCTACTATCGTAGTGCAGTTGTATGGCAATCTTGACGTCCTTGTAATGTCCATCGTTCGGCACCAAATCTCTTGCTATCTCATTAAAGAGAGAAGCTACTTCTTCGTCACAACCTAGAAGGTTGTGGAGTATCTTTGCCGACCTAAGCTCTTTGACATCGTTCGCGTGATCGATGAGTGAATCCAAGAAGCTAATGTAAGAGGTGATCTCGTAGTTCGTTCTGAAATTGTCAGGACAACCTTCATATGCGATCAGGTTCAAGAATTTAGGCGCTGTTGAGTCATCCACAATCAATGGAGGAAGTTCAAGCCAACCTTTGAAGCAGAACGAATAGAAAGTTATGTCACTCAAGGAGCAGAACTTGTTTGGAATCAAACCTATCCCGGCTGCTTTCAGCTCCTGGACATTACGAAAAGATTGTTGCGTTTGATGCTCTGATCCGTTAATGATTGCGATCTTCTCCTTGTTACTTAGGACTGCTACATGTTGAAGCAGATCGAGAAGATGAATGGGATCTAGCTTGTCCATGTCGAAACTCAGATACTTCTTGAACGCCACCGGAGCCATCACATTTGCGCAAATAAACTGCGCTATTGATTTCTTCAATTCGGTTTTGAAGCTAGGTGGAGTCGAATCCATCAACAGCCTGAGGACTTGAAATGGGATTTGATTTTCCAGCAAGAAAAGATCATGTTGTGTGAAGGCTATGTGATCAGTTTTAATCTTGAAATATTTTAACTTACCATGAATAAAGCCATGTATGAACACTAGTATGGAACATCCATCCAAGAACAATATCCAACTGAGAGTCTTGTCGTCGTAGTCCTTAACCACATCTTCATGGTAACAGTCCTTCAGCTCCTGGATTCTATCGTTGATGACATTGTATAAAGCTTCGGTTTCTTGTTTGCTTTCTTTGATGAACATTGCTGTCAATTTGGGCTTGTACTGCTCGGCAAAGCGAAGATTCGGTTTCTTATGATGAATGGGACCAATTGATACCACCCTCGGCTCGTAGCACTTATGAAAGCCCTCCCTATCTCTTAGAATGAAAGGAACCTTTTGTATCTTGGGCGGTCTAGCGCTTTGATTCGGGCCATCTGTTGTCTTCTCTTGATTTTCTTCTTCCACCAATTTCTTCAAGTTTCTTATTCGCACGTCCATATTGTCAGCCTCGTCTGGAGAAACATTGTCGATTTCGGTACTTTGGTCATCCTCGCTTGTACTTGCTGCTCTTCCGTCAGTCCTCAGAGCACAAGGCTCTTCTATGGATACAACACATTCGTTTTGATCGCTCATTTTTCTGAATTCAAATGCGTCGTCTCTAGATCACGAGACAACTTCTATATGTTTGTTGTAGGAGTAGCTTTGTTTGTAACAATTAATTTCGATAAGGCTACAAAGGAATCTTGGTATGGACTTGGAATTTGAGACTGACTTTATTCTTTTTACATCTTAGCAAGTTTGGCATATGTCCTTTTTCAGGAAGAAAGCAATCATCATTGTTGCAATACAGGGGACCATATTTTTCTTTTTTTTATCCATTAGAATTAGCAGTAGAAGAATGACATTCGCTTTATGCTGAAATGGTTCTCACATTGGTTTCTAAATCTTGTATAGAATCACGAAGAAATTGTATTTGTTAAGGAATAGGAGAGTGAAAAGGAAAAAAGGGTTTCAAGTAGCCACTTTTTTCTCTTTAGCGTTTCAGTACTTTGTCAGAACAAATGAAGAACACACTTTTTCTACGGAATATAACTTTCAATGCCGCACTTTTTGACTATATAATCCATTAGAACATGATTTGCTAGCTTGCAGATTAACATTAATAAAGATATAATCGCTGTAGTTATAGATATACATCATTATTTTTTTTTTTTTTTTTTTTTTTTTTTTTTTTCCTTTCTTGCTTAAACCAACATGTGCAGACTGTAGCTTTTGTTTTATTAGGAAACTAAAACCTAATCCAACGTTAAACAGAAAAGTGGACTATTAAGATTCGGCTATTGCATATGCGGATCCATAATAAAGAAGAGATATAAGTGCCAATACCAATGCAGATTTCTATCATATTTCTAGATAAGAAGTACAAGTCTAAAAATAGGGTTATTTACCTTTTATTAATACTCTGTATTTAAGGTTTACTCAAAAAGTATACCATTAATTTTTTATTACTGTAACTGTATACTCTCAAATTAGATTTAATAAACAAATTTGTACCCTTTGTTTGTTAATACTCGATTTTAACCTTTAAAATCACCTAATTAACCTTAATGGTAATGACTTTTGATTTTTGATTGTTACAAATGTACCATTAGATCACTCCACTAAAGTTAGTTTGGTAATTTAAAATGTCATAGTCAAATGTTCACGGTGATCAAAAGACACGAATTTGCCTTATAAATGTAATCTTTAGGTATACATTTCCAAACTTAAAATCAATGGTATATTTTCTAAATAAACGGAAAACAAAAGATACAAATGTTGAAACAAAATCATTTCTATTTAGTGTCAAAGATATATCACAAACAAAAGATCGTGAGTTACCTGGTTGTGCCATCATCAAAGTTGCTATTGAGATCCGCTAGAGGGTGATGGAGCTATCCTCCCACATAGCCTCTGCACACACATTGGCACCACAGACACCAAATGTCATTCACATGCAAATAGCTCCTCAAGCACTCATAAAAAGTGTTTCACTCAACATAAAAGGCTTATTTGAGTTGGGCCAATTAAGCTTATATTAATGGGAGAAATAGAGAAATAGGTCAAGACTTGAGATGAATTAAATTTAATAGGCCAATAATTTACATAAGTTAATAAATAGGCCAAATTACTGTTTTTGTCCATAACTTGTCTGGTTATGAACCATAACTTGAGAAGTTATTGTCCATAAATCACGGTTTTTATCCATAACTTGTCTGGTCATGAACCATAACTTGACAAGCTTATCCATAACTTATCTGGTTATGAACCATAACTGGACAAGTTATGGCCTATTAATTTCTATAACTAAAAGTTGGCCTATATACTTCCTTAAGCTTTTCATATTGGCATATTTTCTACTATTTCCATATATTAATTATGCTAGGAAAGTTTTTTGGTCCAATGGGCTAACTAAAGAGAAAATATCCATAGGTCTCAAATAGAACGAATTTTCATTCCATTATGACCCGATTGATATTGAACATAGATACGTTATTAAATTTATAATAACTAAGTTGTCCATAATATGCTCTAGTTCATATTAGAATGAATTATTATGATTATGAAAGTCTAATTAGCCTATTAAATATAATATTAAGATATACATTTGCAACACTTGAAAACTAATGGTATATTTAAAAAAGATAAATAACCCCTAAAAATATGTATTGGTAGTGGTTGCTACAATCTCTCTATTTTGGTATAAGCAACAAGATTTTAACCATTGAGAGTTATTTCATACAATTTTCTTTTCAATAATGAAAAAGAGGAGGAGACGTTTGGTTCATGGATTAGAATCGTGTGATTAGAACCATTTTCGATTTACGTGTATTTTTTGTGAGAGAAAACACTGTAGCGAACTATGAACCATGATTCAAATCATGGTTTGAATCCTCCAACCAAACATCCCCTTATCAATTCCCTCTCCGGGTGCATAGGTGGGTTGAAACCGAAACTGGTCATTGTAAATGGCAGTCGGCCTACATGGTGATTGTTGAAGAAAATGTACATAAAAAATTGTGAAAAAATCAAACATCCAGCACTACATTATATCCTTGTCAGGTAAATGTGACCTTATTTATTGGTAATACTAAAGGGGATGTTTGTTTCTCATATTCATCCTTAATTCTGAACCATGATTCATGATTCTTTACAGTGTTTTTTTTTACAAAAAATACACGTAAAACGAGAATAATTATGTATTATGATTATGAATACATGAACCAAACATTCTCTAATTGATTGTGTTTTGCAAGAATTGGGTTGATGGAAGCAGAGATGAACGTTATCCGGCCTTTTGTAGTAGAGCTGCAACTTTTGATGGAGTCAAATAGGCGGACATGAAGCCCATCTATTTAGCTCAGGACAAGATGGGCCATGAATTATCTAGGCCGAAAGTCTTTTAGATGCATCTCGGTTTGAAGTCCCTTTTTCATTTTGAGAAATTGTAGAAAATAAGCCTACATTTAAGAATTGTGTTAGTAAATAACCAATTTACTAATGTGTAGAAATTATAGCCTTTATGTTCTAAATTTTTTGTTTTTCAGTTTTACTCTTTTTTTTCTATTTTTACTTTTTCCCTCTCGATTTCCTTTTCTCTCTTCTCTCTTTTTGTCGTTCGTGGGTCTGCTCTTTTTTCTCTCATCGTCGTTCATAAATCTAGGATTTATAATGTAAATTCAAGATTTACCATTAGAACAAATATTGTGTTTTTTCGTAAATCTTGAATTTATAATGTAAATATAGGATTTTCCATCAGAACCCAATTTTTGTTTCTTCATAAGTCCTTGATTTATACGGTAAATTTAAAAGTTTACAAGTATAAGAGAAACATTTTTAGTTTTGCTAATAAATCTGTACAATAAATGCAAGATTCAGCATCAAAGCACATATCGTATTATTCGTTAATCCTGAATTTACAGTGTAAATCTGGGATTTATCATTATAAAACAATTTTTGTTCCTTCATAAATCTTAGATTTGCACAGTTTATTTAGGATGGATTAATTCCTTACATGTGCCTTGAATGTTGCACCTTATTTCAACATGCCCGCTAAATTTTAAAAGGGTTTATTACACTCCGTAAAATATAAAATGTGGTTAAAAATACTCGTTGAACTAATTTTTTTAATAATTGCATCCTGAACTATTGATTTTGTATTAACTTACCCATTCATTTCTTAAAAAGAAAGGGGCCAAGTTGACACAAAAGTAATGACTCGGAGGGTAGGTTGACTTAAAATCAATAGTTTGGGGGTATTTATAAATATATAAGTAGTATCACGTCATCAATTTATTAGTTTTATAAATATATGGAGCATTTTGAACTTGGGTATATATTTCAGGGGGTGAAATAAACCCTTTTCAAAGTTCAAGGGGCATTTATGAAATTAATCCATCTAGAATTTACCATCAAAACACATATTGTGTTTATTCGTAAATCATTAATTTACAACATAAATCCTTAATTTACAAGGTAAACCCTAGATTTTCTGTTAGTGGATTATATTATCTTCAGTAATATAACATAAACCTCCATTTTTTATGTTCGGCTCGTAAATCTAAGAATTACGGTATGGTAAATCTAAGATTTATCATCAAAACACAGATTGTGTTCTTAGTAAATCCTAACTTTACAGTGTAAATTCAGGATTTACCACTATAATACAATTTTTATTCATTCGTAAATTCTAGATTTTCATAGTAAAATCTAGAATTTACCATTAGAACACATATTATGTTTATTCCTAAATCTTTGATTTACAGTGTAGAGAACGAGGAGATAAGAGAGTGTGGAGAGAGAGAGCCAGAGTAAATTTTACGATTTCATTTCCTTTTTTTTATTAGGGGAACTTTTGAAATGTGAAGTTAGTGTAATTCCGAATTTACTCCTTTTAGGCCTATTTACTAATTACAGGTGAGGCAAATAGCATAAATGGAGGGGTAGTTAGAATTTACAGCAAATATTAATTTTAAGTTTAGCAAATGTCATAAAACTCTCTGATCCTCCCATTTTTTCTCTCTCTTCCCCTCTCTCTCATCTCTCTTGCCCGCCCGTCATCCCTCTTTCTATCTCCTCTCTCCTGCAACCCTGTCTTTCTATCTCTTCGCTCTCTCTCGGCCTTTCGATCTCTCCTCGCTCATTCATGGAGATCAGTTTCACGATCTTAGATCTTATCCTCCATAACCCAGCCATGGTAAGCTTCGAAGCTCCCTGCATATCTTTGCAAAGTGCGACGACGAAGGCATCGTTTGCAGAAGACATTCACCACTCACGCTTAGAGAAAAGGATGAGGAAGAAGAGAAAGTAACACGTGGATGGAGAAAGAGAGATTTAAGATATTCAGTTTTTAAATTTTATCGCTGCTTTCTCTCTCTTCCCCTGCGATTTGCAATCTGTGCGATCTCCGACTTGCAGACGCTGATCGCATCACTTGGTGAATAAATAATTTACGTGGTAAATGCTTCATTGTCATTATAAATGCATCATTTACCAACATACAAAATTTTATTTAATTTGGTAAATAGAGGATTCACGTTGTAAATGATGGATTTATCAGTCAAACAAAGGTTTTGATGTTATGAACAAGTTAT